TTAGCTATGCTGGATTACATTTGAGGATTAAGAAGCCCTCCTTTAAACAACACTCAATTATTGCTTATCTGTGCTAGGAAAGGTATCAACAACAGCACTAACACTTCAGGCGTGGGAGGCTGAGGCTTACTTTGTCTTTTTTTTTTTTTTGAGTCAGAATCTCACTCTCTCACCCAGGCTGGAGTGCAATAGCACACTCATGGCTACTGCAACCTCGACCTGCTAGGCTTGGGCGATCCTTCCACCTCAGCTTTCCAAGTAGCTGGAACTACAGCGCACCACCATGCCCACCTAATTTTTCATTTATTGTATTGTCGCCATGTTGCTCAGTCTGGTCTCGAACTCCTCAGTCTGGTCTCGAACTCCTGGACTCAGGCAATCCTCTTGCTTAGGCCTTCCAAAGTGCTGGTATTACAGGTGTGAGCCACTGCACCTTGCCATACCTTTACTGTTATCAGTAAGATGGGGAAACCGACTGCTCCCCAGTTATTTTAGGGCTCAACAAAGACCATTTAGGCTCAGGGACACAGTTTTCTAGCTTTTTCCGACTTGAGTCTTTACTTTTAATTGCTTGATTTATTTTGACTTGGGAAGTTGTGGATTTTTAGGATGTCAGACACACTTGTATTAAAATAGGTATATACTTTCAAAAGTCAAATGCAGATTTCTCTGGAGTATGCCCCAAGATGAGCTTTTCTCAAGTTGTCTTCTGAAGAACACGAGTCCTGCAAAATGCTCCATGGTGAAAGGGTTCCATGATGAATTAACTTTGAGAAATGCTGCTTATCATAGTTCCTTCTTGGGGATGTATACTGCACTGTAGTGAATTAATGGCTCTGAGACATTCTACTGTAGAAAAATCTATTTTCACTCTATTTAATCTGGTACTTCCCAAATATATTTGATCACAGCACTCCTTTTTCTCAAAGGGCCCAAGGTACTGGGGGATAGTTTGTTCTGGGTAGCCAGTATTAGGTTGGTTTAGGGTTAGTATTTCCTCAGTTTGTGTCCTGTTGGATTATGAGAGTGGAAGGCCAAGACTATGTTAATTTATAGCTTTCCACGGGCCCTGGAATATAGTCATCACCACCAAGAATGGCCTGGACACCTTTCAACTGTGATAGGATTGTTTCTTTCATTTCAACTTAGAAGATTTGTGGTCTACTCTATATTTGAGTATAGGGAGTTATAGTGTACAAAACCAAGAAACTGTGCTTTTCTTTTTTGAGTTAGAATCTCACTCTGTCGTCCAGGCTGGAGTGCAGTGTCATGCTCATGGCCACCCCAGTGTTGACCTGCTGGGCTCAGGTGATCCTTCTGCCTCAGCCTTCCAAGTAACCGGAACTACAAGTAACCGAAACTACAGGCATGCATTAGCATGCCTGGCTAATTTTTTTATTTATTGTAGAGATGGGGTCTCGCCAATTACTCAGGCTGGTCTTGAACCTGTAGGCTCAGTCAGCCCTCTCACCTCGGCCTCCTAAAGCACTGGGATTACAGGCTTGAGCCACCACGCTCAGCCAACAGTTCTTTTCTTTGAGGAATTTAATTTCTGTTGGAATGGAAAAATTCGCAAAAGGGTCAAACAGTAATAACATCTAAGTAGATATGAAATCATATCAAAGTGAGCCCAGCTCCAACTGGCCTGTGCTGTAGATATTTTGGGGGTTGGGGCAGCAGGAAACAACCTTTATTGTGACTTGACTTAGTGAGCTGTGGGGACTGTGAGGAGAGGGAAGATAGAGGAGTCTCTTCCCAAGTCCTGAATGCCTTTTTGTTTGCCCTGCTCTGGTGTTTAACACATGCACTATGTGTAAAAATCTCTTAGACTTCCTCCAAAATGAATGTTTTAGAGTTGGATGAGATGCAAAGCTTTCTGGAAGGAGAACTTTCTCTGGCTGATCTGCAGGGCCCCCTTTGGTTGGTTAGAGCTTGTATTTTGGGATGGCTGCCCTCCCTAACTCTGACTCAGGCTGTGAGTTTGGTTTTGGGTGCCTGCTGACTTGGAGATGCCAGACTAAGTTGAATGGATATGCATTTTCCAGGTTTTTCTACCATGGTTATTGCATGAAAGAGTAAATATACTCTGCTGACTCTAGTCACCCATAGGAAGGATGTGTGATATGAGTAGAACTGAGATATTCCCAAGAGGAAACAGATGAGGAGTTTACATTCTTCTCCATGTGTCATATTTCATAGTGTGTGACCTAGGGCTTTTTAACTTTTAAAATTGGGCTTGACCTACCTGATGGATGTTGTCAGCATTTGAACTCTCCCTAGCTTAAGGCATTCAGCCTTTGCCTCAGTAGCTTTATTTACTTATTTATTGAGTCAGGGCCTCACTCTGTCACTCAGGCTGGAGTGTAGTGGTGAGATGACAACTCACCACAGCCTTGACCTCATGGGTTCAGGCACTCCTTCCAGTTCAGTCTCCCCAGTAGCTGGGACTGCAGGTGTGTGCTACTATGCCCAACTAATTTTTTGATTTTTTTTTTTTTTTTTTTAAGAGACAGAGTCTTACTATTTTGCCTAGGCTGGTCTTGAAGTACTGGGGTCGAGCATTCCTCCTGCCCTGGCTTCCCAAAGTGTTGGAACTGCAGGGTAAGACACTGTGCCCAGCCATGCCTCCGTCTTTTGATGAGGCTCAGGCTGTGATTATTGCATTAATCATGAGGCTCAGCCTCTTTTCAGGTCCCCCTCCCCCGCTTGAGGAGACATTCTCTTTTTGCAGAGTGCTGGTTGTCATATATTGAATGTTCTAGAGATGCCAAAACAAAGTACCACAGGTAGGTGATTTAAATAACAGAAATGTATTTTTTCACAGTTCTGGAGGTTAGAAGTCTGGTATCAAGGTGATAGCAGGGTTGATTTCTTCTGAGCCTCTCTCCTTGCCTAGAAGATGGTGGTCTTCCTATGTTTTCACATGATCTTCCTTATGTCAAATTTCCTCTTTTTATAAGGATAACAGTTATATTGGGCTAGAGTCCACCTGTATGACCTTGTTTTAACTTAGTCACCTCTTTAAAGACCCTATCTCCAATCCTATTTTGAGATGTGGGAGTTAGGGCTTTAACAAATCAATTTTTGGGAGATGCAACTCAGCACATAACAAAGAGCCACTAAGATATTACGGCCCTTCTGATTTTTGAAGGTGGTAATTCTATCACTGCTTCTTCCCCCACACAGTAAACCAATAAGATTCTTCCTTCCTTGCTGAGAACCCCCTCTTCTTTCTATTCTTTACATGAGCTGATTTTGAGGTCCCTCACCGTCTTAGAGTCTTCTGGACTTGCCGCAGTTTAAGGGGAAACAAAGTGGAATACCCTGAACGACTTGCAGTATTCTGGATAGAATTCATTCTAATGTCTGCCTCAGAAAACAATTTTGATGATTTCTGAAAAAAATTAAAAGGCTAAAAATCGACCAATAACGTTTCAGTAGCAACTTTTTAATAGAGTCACTTTTAATTTTGCGTGTATGTGTATGAACACATACACATGGACACACCCCCATCCCCACACCCAGGAGTCCAGTACTAACTCTAATACTTCTTTTAACTCAGACATATATATTTAGAGTCAAGTGCTCGAGGTCTAAGTTTATTCACCAGTCTTCTCCCTCTGTCATACTTATTCAGTTTTAGGTAACCTATTGGGGATAGTTATTTCAAAAGAACAAGTGAATGTAGAGATTTTATTTAAGTGTAATTCCTGTCTGGAGGGCCTAGAAGTAACTAAGTTACTTGAGTATAACTCATTTTAGGTACATAGTCTCATGCCAAGCTGTAGCATAATTAGATTTAAAATTATAAGGTATCTTCTTCACTTTTGGAAATTTTTGTTGCTCTTCTCTAGAAATTGTCAAAAAGGCTCATCTGTTTTGTTCTTTGTATTTTCAGCACTTAGAAGAGTGAAGTTCAAAAAAAGTTTGTTGAATGACTAAATGAATTCTTTTTTTTTTTTTTTGAGTTAGAGTCTCCCTCTGTCGCCCAGACTGGAGTGTAGTGGCATGTTCCCGGCCACCGCAGCCTTGACCTGCTGGGCTCTGGCGATCCTTCCTCCTCACCCTTCCAAGTAGCTGGAATTACAGGTGCGTGCTACCACGCCCAGCTATTTTTTGATTTATTGTAGAGACGAGGTCTTGCCAAGTTGCCCAGGTGGGTCTCGAACCTTCGGGCTCAGGCAATCCACTCCCCTCAGCCTCCCAACGTGCTGGGATTACAGGCTGAGCCACCGAGCCCGGCCTAAATGAATTCTTTTAATCATCTTATCCTTATTTAATCAGGAATGTCCTGTTGTGTCTTAGAGGTCTAAATGTAATAGAAATGGAAGCTTGGGGTTTAGGGGTTATTCAGGCCGCTCTCCCTTTTGCTCTTGAGTTGTGGAGCTTCCCATGAAGAGACTTTCAGTGCTGTTCACTCTTTTGCTAACTTGTGGTTTGTAAATCCTGATTGATAGTTTTGACAGCCTTTTTCCCTTTACTGTAGTGTCTTTAGATGGAGTCTGACACTTTTGGATTCCTTTCTTTGAAGATGCTTTGACTGTACCACCCGGGACTTCCAAATTGTAGCCCTTAGATGCCCAGAGCCCTGGCCCCACACAGCTGTTAGGCCCCCTCTGTTCTGGAGGCCCAACAACATTAAATACACCAACTATTTATAGCATACTTTTCAGTGTTGGTAAATTACAGGATGCCCTTGCCAGTGGAATGGGGCGAACACTCATCTGCCTGCCACTGCGTGATTGCCTAGAAGCATCAGCCAGGTGGCAGCCCCACCTGAGTGCTTCCAGGGCCTCACCTGGCACTCCTACAGGAAGCTGAGTCCTGCCAGGATGCTATGGGTTTTTTAGTAGAATCTGTGTCCTTTGTGATGGAGTGGTTGGGGATAAAACAAAAGACACCATGGTATGTGTGCTCTTGAGAGAAGCCCATGCTGATCCAATTGCCAATTCTCCAGGTGGTTATCTTTTCAGCAGTCTGTGTGTAAAAGTTTGCGAAGCCACTGGTAAACTGGGGAGTGTCTTATGTAATGTCCATTTAATCTTACTAGGAAGGATCTCCAAATTTCAACAAGGTAATTGAATGTTTAATCTAAATTTGGGTAAGATATAATCTTGTGGAGTGAAGAATTTGAAGAGTATGGAGAAGCTCTTATAGTTGTGAGTGGTGGCATGTGCCTGGAGTCCCAGCTACTGGGGAGATTACTGCAAGAAGATCCCTCCCTTGAGCTCTAGAGTTCAAACCCAGTCCAGGCAACATAGTGAGACCTCATCTCTTAAAAGAAAAAAATAGAACTTTTAAAAAGGCCTGATAGGGCCTAGTGTCTTAATCTTCCCTCAGTTTCCCCTTGGAAAAGATCTCCTGGCCTGCCATTCATAGTGTATGGTGAGGAGAGGCCCCCTCCACAGTTCACTGTTTAGAATGGGATCAGTTACTAGAATGCTGCTGAGGCCATGCTCTCTCCTGGCCACCAAGCCAAGTTGAACTTTTGGGGGCAGGTTTTGTTGTGGTAGACCTTGGACTCTTCAGTTCTTTGCTTGCTTCCGGGAGGGACAGGAGCAGTGAGCAGCACTAAAGAGGCCTGTTCTGTTAGCTGGACTTTCCATTAAAGTGCTAACTGCTGGATCCTTTGAACCTCTAGCCTGGGAGAGTATTTATAACTAACTGTTTGCGTGTTTAGAAGAACTGAGGCCCTGCCTTTCTGTAGTGGTTTAAGAGCCGTGCCCTTGGTGTAGCCTGAAATGGCAGGCCTGGTGAAATGGGACTCATGCCTGGCTCCCGCGACCTTACTCTCCTTCCCCCTGCCCTGCCAGGCCAGCGGCCCTTTCAGGGTTAACTTCTCTGCTTTGGAAGCAGCTGGCCAGTTTACACTCCTCCCTGGGCTGTACAAAAATACTTCCTTTGAAGTGTTAGAAGAAGCGGTGAAGGGTAAAACCTGGTGAAGAATAAAACCTGGAGTGGGGCTTGAATGTACATATCTTCCAGGGAGTTTGCTGTGTGATTGAGCCTCCAGCCTTCTTTGTAACTTACAGGGTTGAGTGGTTCTCCTCACATACGGTCACAGCTGGCGCGCGCGCGTGTGTGTGTGTGTGTGTGTGTGTGTGTGTGTGTGTGTGTGTGTGTGTGTGTATAAAGTCTACAAAAATGTTGTATTTCTCAACAAAAAAGATAGATTGCAGCCATCAAGCTTGCTTGGTGGCTGGAATCCCTTTGAAGGCATTTCTCCTGGGGTTGCTTTGAGTGGGGGATGTCATTCTGGGGTGTGTGTGTGAAGCTGAAGTGTTTCCACTTGGTCCTAAAGCGGCCAGGCCTGTTCTTGCTCTCTACTAGGGTAGGAAAACTGCCACTGATCCCATCTCTGATTCAGGTCAAAGCACAGCAGCCTCTTAACCTTGAGTTCCCTGCTGATAAAGTGGGGCTGGTGGAAATACAGGGTTGTGGATCCCTTGAGAAAGTGCAAGACACTTCTCTAGTGTAGGGCTTGCTGTTGAGCAGAAATGACATTTAGGATAAAGGGGCCAAAGAGAAGAATGCCAGAGCAGAAATGAGATGGAACAAAGCTTGAATGTCTTCTTAATCCTTGAGTATTTGCAGCCGAGGAGGGGTTGGGGTGAGAAGGGAGGAGAGGCAGCTGTTATTTTCTAGAGAAGAATGCCAACCTGTTTCTCCCCACAGATGGGGCCACACAAGTTCTTTCTGGACCAGGGTTTTCAGTCCTTTCTTCCCTGGAAAATGTCCTCATATGTATTTCTTACATCTTGTTACACTACTTCCTACCTCTCTTAGACAAGGGGTAAGGTCCATGGATTTAAAATATTGCTAACATCTGTTGCTGGCTTTTGTCAGGTATTGTGTTAAGCACCCAACATGACTGATTTCATTTATTCCTCATAAGAGCCCTATGCTATAAACTGCTCTTGTCCCATTGTAAAGATGAGGAAACTGAGGCTGGGAAAAGTGAAGCAACTTACCGGTCCTATTACCTACTTATACAAATATGGAAATTTAGAACCAAGTCAAGTTGACTTTAGATGCTTTTTATTCTTAATTAGATATAAGTTATAATAAGTGATGGAAGGTGGGATTTAATCATTTGCCTTAAACCTGGCCAGAAACTGTTTTTAAGGAAGAAATGGAACATTGAACTCTGTTCATTCTAGCAGTTTTGACCCATGTTACGTTCATCAGTCAGCTCTTATTGGTGAGTTATATTTGAATAAATGTAAATTCTGTTTGCCCTGTGGTTTCTGAAAAGGAACTTTTCTGATTTCTAATTCCCTGTGTTGTCTGTACAATACCAGTGCTTCCCCCCGCCCCCTTTCTTTAGAAAGGTGGGAAGATGGCTGCCCAGCCCTATAACCTCGGCTTTCTTACAGTTCAAGCTCTTGATATTGGGGATTGACGGGTAGCCTGTACCTCTAGAAATCCTTAGCTGTAGGCTTTGATCTTTTTCCCCAGCCTAGAACCCGCCTTGTCACTTACTTCAAGGGGCTTGAGATCCTGTCCTTGACCCTCCTTACCTCAGGAGGGAAATTGAGACCTGGGAAAATTTAAGTGATTTGCCCCCAGTCACACATGGGGCTAGACCCAGGGCCAGATTGGCAAGTTCCCAGTCCACTGGCCACATGCTTCTCCTTTTCACCTGAATTTAAAACAGGAGGGAAGATGAAAGGAATAGAAATGACCAGTCAGAGGAGTAGAAGGGCTCTCATTTGCAAACAGTTTCTTTTGATCTTCACCCCTTTGTTTAAACAAATCTAACAGGTAGCTGAGCTGGTTCCCTCTAGTTCATTGGGGGGCAGTCATTTCTCTTAATTGGCAAACCCCTCACCCCCAGCAGTCTGTTTAACTTAGGGCCCCATACCCCCTCTTCCCTTCTGCTACTTGGCTGCCAGATGTCATGCTCCTCTTCACAAATCTTTCAGAGCTTTTTATTGCTTATAGGATAGAGTCTAACCCTGCTTTACCCTAATATTCTAAAACCCTTGGCATTTTGCTCATGACCTGTTTTTGCAATTTGACATCCTGCCGCAGAATCCCTTGCTTCTAAATCAAATGGCTCCTCCAAACAGACTTGGACCTTTACTTGCATCTTTACCCACATTCTGCCCATCTTTCAAGGCAACCACCTTCAGAAAGCTCTCTTGAACCATTGCAGCACTGAATTGTCTCTGCTGCCTCTGAACTTGAAATAACCTCGTCTGACCACTCATTTGGCACTTAATTATATATTATTTTTTGTTGATTAATTTGTAGGTGTGTCTGTCTCCCCAACTAGGTTGTAAGTTTACTGAGGTCAATAGCATGCCTTCTGAGCTGCTTTGTATTCCCCCACAGCATTCCCTAGGGTCTAGGTTGTATGCTGTGCAAGGACCTGGTACTGATCCTAGAAAAATGCTGATGTTTTCCTAACTGTTAATAGGAATTAAAGACTTGATAAATGAATTTATCAAAAAAAGGTATAAAATGCTTAACTGGAGAGGTTTATAGGATTTGTGCTATGACAGAATTAATATGCAGGTTGAGTATGCCTTATCCAAAATGCTAGGGAAAAGAAGTGTTTCAGATTTTGGAGTTTGGAGTATTTACATATATGTAATGAAATATCTTGGGATGGGACCCAAGTCTAAACATGAAATTCATTTATGTTTCATATATACTTTATTTACATTGCCTTAAGGTGATTTGTACAATATTTTAAATAATTTTGTGCATGAAACAAAGCTTCTGTTTCGTACTTATATGTGTTATTTTCCACTTGTGTCATGTTGGTGCTCAAAAAGTTTCAAATTTTGGTGCATTTTGGATTTTAGATTTTCAGATTAGGGATGCTCAACCTGTACCTTATTTTTTAATTTTTGTTTCTTGAGACAGGATCTCTCTGTGTCCCCCAGGCTGGGGTGCAGTGGTACATTCATAGCTCACTGCAACCTCGACCTCCTGGGCTCAAGTGATCCTCCTGCCTCAGCTTCCTGACCAGCTGAGACTATAGGTGTGTGCCACCACGCCTGGCTAATTTTTTACTTATTTTTTGTAGAGATAGGATTTCACTGTGTTGCCCAGGCTGGACTTGAACTCCTGGCCTCAAACATTCCTTGGCTTCAGCCTCCCTAAGTGGTGGGATTACAGGCATGAGCCACTGTGCTTGGTGCCAACCTCTTCTTTTAAATCAGGAGTTCTTGAATGAATTGAGGTATTTGAGTTTGTATAAATTTTTTTTATTTGTGTGATTTTGCTGGCAAACAGTCTGTTGTGGGATTTTTGACCCAGATCCCTTCTAGATGAAAGTTAATAAATGCATGTTATTTTAAATTTGCTGTTGTTGATATTTAGTGCCCTAGTTGCTTTTTTAGGACTCTTCGGGGTTTTTGTAACTTCTTTCTCTAACTTATTTCTTGGATCTCATATTATTACAATTGTGTTATTTTTATTTATTTATTTTTGGGTCAGGGTTTCACCCTGTCACCAAGGCTGGAGTGCAGTGGCATGATCACAGTTCACCGCAGCCTCACCCTCCTGGGCTCAGATGATTCTTCAGCGTCAGCCTCCTGAGAGCAGAGACTACAGGTGCACACCACCATGCCCAGCTAATTTATTTTATTTTTTGTAGAGACAAAGTCTCACTGTTTGTCTAGGCTGGGCTCAAATTCCTGAGCCTGAGTGATACTTTCACCTCAGCCTCCCAAAGTGTTGGGATCATAGGCATGGGCCACCACACCTGGTCGTCTCTTAAAAATGTCTCTAATCTTTTTCAGCTATTATAATATATTTTGTTTTCTTGGTTATTTCCATAGTTTGTGGTTGTGCCTTTGATTCTGATGTGTTCAGTTAGGTTGATGACCTTCACATTTTATGTTTGATCTCCCAAAGGGGATCTACCTGTATGGGAAGGATTTGCTTTCCCTTCTCCATCCCCTCCCCATCCTTTCCTCTGTCTTCTGGCCTTGTTTGTATGAAATTCTGGCCTTGAGCACACCTTGCAGTCCTGGCACATGTCCATTTCCCAGTTAACTGTTTTGTATTTGGTCTATATATGGCATGTTCAGCTGTAGCTATGGGTGGACTCATGCTTAT